TGCTGAGATACAATTTACATACCAAGCAATTCACTCAAAGTGTACAATTTAATGGTTAGGGGTATATTCACAAGTTGTGCAACCATCGTCACATTCAATTTTAAAACATTCTCATCACCCCCACACCAAGGAGAGCCCCCCACACCCTCTGGCGGTCACTCATACTCCCTTTTTTCTCCAAACCCCCTCAGCCCTTGTCAACCACTAATCTACTTCCTGTCTCTCTGAATTTTCATGTTGTGGACGTTTCATATAAATGGAATCATTCAATATGTGGTCTTTTGTGAGTGGCTTCTTTCATTTAGCATGTTTTCAAGATTTATCCATGCATTGTAGCATTCCCTCATTCCTTTTTTTAAAAAAAAATTAATTTATGTATTTATTTATTTTTGGCTGTGTTGGGTCACTTGCTGCACGCGGGCTTTCTCTAGTTGAGAAGAGCAGGGGCTACTCTTCGTTGTGGTGCGCGGGCTTCTCATTGCAGTGGCTTCTCTTGCTGTGGAGCACAGGCTCTAGGCGTGCGGTCTTCAGTAGTTCTGGCACGTGGGCTCGGTAGTTGTGGCTCACGGGCTCTAGAGTGCAGGCTCAGTAGTTGTGGCACATGAGCTTAGTTGCTCCGTGGCATGTGGGACCTTCCCAGACCAGGGCTTGAATCCCTGTCCCCTGCATTGGCAGACGGATTCTTAACCACTGCGTGACCGGGGAAGTCCTCCCCTCATTCCTTTTTATTGCCAAATAATATGCCATTCTCTTTGCCCATTCTTTATAAGAGTTTGGGTTCTGTTTTTGTTTTAGTGATGTTGATTTTAGTACTTTACTGAATTGAGAGGCCCTCACATCTCCCATCTGTGCACCCTTTAATCATTCCAGTGATTATTTTTGGTAGGATTCTACTGAACTTACAAAGAAATCCAGTTCAGTTCAGTTCAACAGATACAAATTGCTGGGGATAGAGAGATAACTGGATGCAACCCTTGTCATTCAGGAGTTTACAATCGATGTACATCAAATCATGAGAGCAAACCATGTCCATGAGTCACCCTGATACCTTTAGCTTTCAAGCAATATTTTAATTTACATTAATTAGATAAATATATTAATATTTTCCAAGTTGTGTTTTTATGTTTATACCCATGCTGTTCTGTAAGCTGCCCCAAAACAGTATCTATGGGTTCTATTTCTTTTCTATTATAATAATATTAATGATAACTACAGCAACTACCATTTACTGTATATTTATTTTATTTGATCTGCAAAACAATCCTGTGAGGTAGCTACTGTTATTTCCATCTGCTGATGGAGAAACTGAGGCTCAGGGTGATCAAGCAACTTGCTGACGGTCACTCTTCTGGTAAGGGTGATCTCTGGACCACACTAGCCCCCAGCTGCATGGAGGGCATTCTTAGCAGCCAGTAGATGATATTGTCCACCTGCCACCCCAGCAGGCAGCTCTGCACTTCGGTCTGGGCACCCTGACATAATCTCTGGGGATAAAGGATAAAGTTAGAGTCTCAAATCTTCATCCTATGGCATCCGTAGTTGTGTCCATTCCATTATTCTCTTGATAGTGATGGAAAACCTACCTCCCCCCTCAAAGAGCTCCCTCTGCTTGGTACAGAAATCACTGGATGTCATCTCTGGAATTCACCATTTTGGAATCAGACTTTAGAGGATGCACCCAGGGATAACAAATTAGGAAGCTCTCAGCCCCCAGGATGTGCCACTTGATAGAGTAGCGTGACAAATGGCAGGATTTGAGAACTCAGGCCTCCTGTTTCAGGTCTCTAGAACTGTCCGACTCCTTGCTAAGACACACTTGACTGTACTGTGCTGTCGTCTTCAACAATGAGGCAGGTTACCTCCGTGAATCTACATATCACACTGAAGACACTTGATAAATATTAAATAATAGTTATTGTTTCTTTCACATTCGCTGACAAGATAAAATCCCAGTAAAGAGCCTTTAAGGTCTAATTACTTCGTAGGCATTGAAACCAAACTGCTAGTTGAAGAATTAATTGTGGAGCCATCGGAGGTGGAGGAGTAGGAAGTTGTTTTGAGTGGTGGTGTCACTGTGGAACTCCGTTGAAGATGTGGAGCAATAAATACCAATGTGAGCTGCCAAAAGAGACCGAGCAAGAGGAGACTGGGAGTGCAGCTGGCATTGGACGGACTGGAGTTCATTTACCGATGATGACTTCAGCACACAAAATATGTGTTGAGCGAGCGAACAACTGAATTAACTAATAGGCAGAATATGTCGCTAGGGTTATTTAGAGCAATATGCAGATAGACTCCACGGTGCAAATGAAGGCCCCCAATATTAAGAACAATTGCAATAGTAATTAACATTTGCTGACCACTAGCTATGAGCCAGGCCCTATTTCAAGTCCTTTAAATATATTATCTCATTTAATCCTGACAACAAATTGTGAGGCAAATATCCTTTTTTTTAATTAATTAGTTAATTTATTTGGTTGCGTTGGGTCTTTGTTGCTGCGTGCGGGCTTTCTTTAGTTGCGTCGAGCAGGGGCTACTCATCGTTGGGTACGTAGGCTTCTCATTGCGGTGGCTTCTCTTTTTGCAGAGCACGGGCTCTAGGCACGCAGACTTCAGTAGTTGTGGCTCGCGGGCTCTAGAGCGCAGGCTCAGTAGTTGTGGTGCACGGACTTAGCTGCTCCGTGGCATGTGGGATCTGCCTGGACCAGGGCTTGAACCCGTGTCCCCTGCATTGGCAGGTGGATTCTTAAGCACTGCGCCACCAGGGACGCCCTCCTCATTTTTTAAATGAGGAAGTTGAGGCATAGAGAAGTTAAGTAACCTGCCCAACATCACATATTTAGTTTAAAAAATTATTATTATTATTTTTACTATGCCATTCTCTAATCTCTGAAGAGATCACTGAGTTTCCAGGACCTTAAAAAATATCCTGGGATTTTTCCAGTCTGTAGTTTTCAAACTGGTCCATGGAACCTTGGGACCTTCAGAAGCTCCACCAACAATAAAGTATTTGTGTCAAGCAGGGATGAGTTTAGCTCCCTCGGGAAATATCTGCTGCTTGAACCTGCTTGGCATATTGGATTTCAACATGGCATTTTGTTTTCGTACAAAAGGGAGAAAGAGTGTTCCAGTGTCAGAGGTTTGGGGCCAGCAAACATTTTCTGTAAAGAGCCAGATGGTAAATATTTTAGGCTTTGCAGGCTACACCATTTCTGTTACAACAACGCAGTTCTACTACTGTAGTACAAAAACAGCCATGGACAATGTGTAAATGAATGAGCATGGCTGTGTTCCAATAAAACTTTATTTATAAAAGTAGGCAGTAGGCCATAATTTGCTAACCTCTGATCTAGGTCATCCTCCTGTGGTCAAGTGAACCTAAACTTTCTAAATACCGGTTGTCTTGCTAACTCATAAGGGGAAGGTTTATTGTCCAAGTTCCCCATATTTATTAATGCCCGTCATCAGAAAGCCCATGCCACAGTTTAAGGGAAAGAAAACTAACATGTATTGAATGTGAACTTTGTGTCAGGTACTCTGCTAATGGTTCTACACCTGAATTAATCCTCCTTGTAACTGTGGAGGGTGAAGAGCAGGATTCCCCTCAACAAAGAAGAAAACTGAGACTTGAAGATGTGAAAATAGTAACGAGAGTCAAGCCAAAGTCTCACTCTATGCGATTATACCATGTTGACCTGGATTAAAGTCACATTGCTTGTCCTGTCATGTAATAGACTGGAAGGTTATTGATAAGTCACCCTCAGTTGATTCTTCTCTAGGAAAAACCCTTCAAGTTCACTTCATAACCTCACTTTGCTCCCCCCACATGCTTTACCATCTCTGTTAGAGACTTAAAGACTAGTGCTACCATATCTATATGAGTTTTCCCAAGGTATCACGCAAGAGGAGAATAACCTTGCAATTTCAATAAGCTGTCCTCCCATTTATGCTTTCTAGTCTTTTGCTGTCTATCTTAGCAGGCTGCAATGGGGGTTTGTATTAGCTGGTGATCCTCCATGATCCATATGTGTTTTATAAAGATCATTTTTTATCTCTAAACTTTGTTCTCTGCCTCCTGTACTTGTCTCTCTTGAATTCATACTACACTTCAGGAGTCCTCAGTAACTCCTTTTCCTCAAATATTTAATGGCACTACTAGCTTGGTTATATGCCACCAGTAGGTAAATCTAATGTCTTCCTCTTGCGTGGGATAGGTTGAAAATTTGAGGCTGAGATGTTGATGGTTGGAATACTAAATATCTTCTAGAACACATGTTCGTCATCTTCTTTCATGTTCACCAAAATGCCGTGGGACAGAAGGACCTCTTACATCTATTGTTAATTCATTCTGGATTGGTTTCCTCTCAAGAACCAATCAGACCCATTCAACCAGCAATAGGAGGCTGGTGCCGTCCCAGAAGTCAGTGACAGCATCGCCTGTCATGGCTCTCGATTCCGGAAAATCCCATGTCCGCGAGCCACTGTAGCCCACCTCCACAACTGAACGGTAACACAGCTGCTTGTGAAACAGAAGAGAAATCCATCATATGTGGAAAACTCAGCCATCAATAAGCAGCTCTGCAAACCTTTCAGTTGGGGACCAACCACAGAACTGGCTCTCCATCTACAATCAAACAGTCTTTAGCCGTGATCGGCCACTTCCGTCACCTCTGAGACTGGCAGATTTCCAATAAAGCCAATAGCCCCCTCCCCTGGGGTAAGGTCATCAGCAGGAGGCAGGCATTGTCGTTCAGCCCAGCAATTTGACAACAGTGTTAGCTCACACTCTATTAGCCAACAGCTACACCCTGACCCCTGACCCCGACATTGGCCTCAGACGTCCCTCTCCTGAGGTAGACTCTGATCATTTGAGGTGGCCCGCCCTGCTGGTTAGCATGAGAGGAGGTCCATCAGGGCCAGGAAGGGCTCCCTGGTCACCCCTGTTCCCAACAGGAGGCTTAAGCCTTCAAGTACAGAAACAAGCCAGAGTTGAACCCAAGATGGCAAAGGTGAAAGTTCAGAAGCATATCCATCAGCAGCCTGTCACCAAAGGACGATGTAAGAACCACGGAAGCTTTCAGCATAGGGATAGCTGTTGTCTCCAGACAGTTCTGCTCCTTAATGGAAAAGACATACCAAAATATGGCTTACAAAATACAAAATAATGGACTGAGATGTACCTTATATGAGGGTGTTAGATTGCAATGTACTTTGCAGTAGGGGAATTAGATTGAAGTGTTATGCCAGGGTAGTTAGGTTGAAATATGGATCATCCTAGGAAAGTTAGCTTGAGATGTGCTTTATAACACAGTTGTTAAATTAAGACGTGCTCTTCAATGCAAGCATTAGCCTGAGATGTGCATTATAGCAAAATTGTTAGGGGAAGATGTGGATTCCACTTTGGGAGGGGGATAAGAGCAAGAAAAACACCTTGTACTGAATAGTATTCAAGGTTACAGAAAGTCTTGTGCATTACATGGATTTCAGGGGTTTAAATGCAGGGGGAATGAGAGCATGGTGCATATATAGAGATAATGTTCTTCCCTTCTCCTTTCTCCCCGGCCAAACAATCTGCCGCTTTCCCCACTTTTCCTGTTAGGGACTTAAAGGCCTCCCCCATCAATAAAGACATTAACTCACTAAACAGCCTGATGGCTTTTCCTTCCCTGGCTTAACCCTTCGGGAGCTGGGGTTTCCTTCGGATTTGTAAAGATATTGATCCCAGATAATGTTTGCCTTTCTAACTCTCTCTTCCCTAGACTTGATGGATAGGTTCAGGGCTACATCTCGGCAGCCAACTCACCGCAGCTACACAGGGAAAGGGGAATGGAAAGAGAGGCAAGTGTTCAGTAGTTAACACCATTGGAACACTTTCCCTGGGATAGACAGGTAGTAACGTGGTGGCTGGGGAGAGATGCGGGAGCTGCAGCCTCTTTCAATCAGCACGGGATTTCACTTTCGATTTTCCTCATTCTTGTCTGATCCTTCTACCAAAATTTCTTTAGTTCAACTTAGAGCGTTGTATAATTTCTAATTAATATCAGATGCTGTCTTGAGGTCGGCCGCCCTGAGTTGCATTTGTAAAGACTCCTTTTCCAGTTAAAGTATGTGCTTTTCTCCAGCTCTGTCAACATGGAATGAACACAGGTAGCTGGAACATTTGCTGTGATAGTGGCCTAGGTGGGGGCGACTTTAATAAACGCTCCCCTTAAATGCAAATTTTACCCAAGAAAAATAAGTGAAGAAGGATGGGTTCATCCTGTCTCTCATTCACCAGTTGGCCTACAAACGTTCACCAGTTGTCTCCCCAACAGTGTTTTTGTTCTTTCTTCTCTTCCCTAGCTCAGAAGATATCGTTTACAGCCTCCAGAAGTCTAGCCGCGCATGATTGGATGATGTCCAGCTTTGCCCGAGTCAGAGAGGTGAGTTCCAGCCTTCTTGATTCTCAGTGAAAGAAAATGTTATACCAGGTGAGTTAACGCAGTCAAAAAGACTAACCTTCCAGACAACAGTACCAAACAAAACCAAACAGTTCAAAGGAAATTGCAGTGTTACTGGACACCTCTGCATTGTGCCTTGAGGTTCCAGGAAAGAGGCAAGCAGGCGATTCCGCATGTGTTTTGTCAGGCCCTGTTTTTCTAGATAGAAAAGTGGGTTTGTAGCAGAACCACGGCACTTACCTTCCCTGGCTGAGCTTCCTAAGGGCAGAACACAGGAATATGACAGAAATACACTGCCCAAGTGGGAAAGCACTTCCATCCCCCCTGTGCATCTTTGCCAATTTTCATCTTTTTGTCAGCCTTGCTACCCTTCCTGTCTCTGAGCATTTCCTGGTTAAGCACTCCTTAACTCCATTCTGGTGTATTCTTTTCTCTTCTTGGTGTCCATTCCTGCCTCATTTTTTGACATCACATTTTCCTTAAAAATAGGCTTTGAGAGCTATTTCTAGCCCCTGTCAAGGGATCTGTCCAGCCAGACTCCCACGGGATGTAGGAATGAGTTTAAAACCAATCCCAGAGAAGAAAGAAAAAAAAAGGGAGGTTGGCTTAGTCCCAGACTCCGTTTTAAAACAAATCTTCTGTTAGGTCAAGTGAGATATTTGGGGCCCCTCCCTAAATAGAAAGGGGAATTTCATTATGGTTCTCTTGAAACACCACCTAAAATCCCACTCCGAAGAGACCACATACTATCATGGCAAAATCATGGTGGCCTGGTGGTTGGAAGCAGCTTTGGAATCTGCCCCCTACCCCCCATCACTTAATTGCTTTGTGAATTTGGGCAAAGCACTGGACTTTTCTGAACCTCAATTTCTTCATCCATAAAATGGGTTTAATGGTATTATTGACCTGCAGGTTTCTATGAGGACCAAACTGGCTAATGCGTATAAAATGCTTAACCCAATGCCTGCCACAAGGTAATCCCTCAACCGATGGTGGCTGCTAACTTTGCAATTTCAGCGCCATACCAACGACTCACCCATTTACCTTGGGCTCCCGCGACACTGAGTTATCACATACCACACTGACCCTCGTGTGCTCATTAACACATCTGGTTTTAGAAACATGCTGTATCTCTTAGCCTTGCTCCTTTCCAACACTGCTGTTCATGAGGATATTCTCTGTACAGGAAGAAGGGCAGCCCTGCCAATGAGGGGAGAGACAGATTAGAAGGGCCTCCCTGATGGAATATAATCCATGCTCTGTACTCACTGCTAACCAGCCATGATTGTATTTCAAAGGTAACAGTTCATCTCCACCGTGGGGATTGGCGTACAATCCACAAATAGGGCCTAATGTGATCCGACAGGCCTGATTTCTCTAGATATATATTAAAACAACATGCCCAGTGCTGATGGCTCCAAGGTCCTGACCCTTAGCAAGGACTTATGACATAAGGCAACCTGCCCAGGAGAGCCAGCGGGGCAGGAGGCCAGAGGGACAAGGTCGTCGACTAATGAAGTGGTCAGCATTGAGTTTCTGTCACTCAGCTGGTTAAGAGGAAACTGAGAGGGAAGTAAAAGAAAATGGGAACATTTAAGGAACAAAGGAAAGGACCACATTTGAGCTGAGGCTCTGAAGGTGGACTGTTGTTGTCAGAAGGCAAGGGGACGAAACACAGCCCAGCTAAGCCTTCCCAGTGGCCTTGTTCAGTTTTACCTGCTGAACACAGACTGGTTGCAAGAGCATTTGAAAGAGGCTAACTCTACAGAAATCCCAAGTTAAAATGAAAATGAGCAGGTACTAAACCAGCCTGATCTTTGGTTCAAATTGGTTTCAGACACAGTAAGGAAAAGTGGTCAAGAGCTCAGGCTTGAAAATGGATTCCAGACTGATTCTCTCTGGGTTCCAAGCAAACTATGCTCTGAGCTTCAGCATCATTATCTGGAAAACTGATAACAGAACCCACCTCAAAGTGAGGGCGGTAGAAGGAGATGATGAAGTTCACCTAGTGGGCTTCGTGCGGTGCCTGACACAAATCATCACTCACGTGTCAGGAGCTGTTACTGTTATTCCACGTGCTCTAACAGTCTTGGAGAGAAGGTGTGGGGCTTTTAAAAAAATGGATAGTAAATTGTGTGTTGTTCAGTAAGAGGACAGTTCCACCTGTTTCACTGTGGCAATTCCTAATGCTTCCCACTGGAGGAGCGTTTCAAACTTTTGTACCACTCACCTGGTCAACAAATGTTAATTGAAAACTACCGCGTGCTAAGCGCTGTGCTAGGTCTTGGGATGGGGTTGTATTGAATCAGAATCATTCTTGACTTTGTTCTTCAGAGCCTTGCTGGGGAGGCAGAGATATCAAGACCTATAGAATAACTGGGAGTCTATTACAAGAACATGGCAAGGGGTGGGGGCAACCAACTCTTCTAGAGAAGGTCAGAGAGAAGTCAAAGAGATGAGGACGTTCATATCTGTTACATCGCTTGATCCTTCAAAGAATGCCTAGGGGCAGGTAAGACTGATGCCACTCTCCCCCTTTGTTTTATGTACAAAAAGGTTGAGACCCAGGCAAGTTAACCCTTGCCTTGTTTGCAGTGGTTCATAGTAGGATAAGACTGTTATCCCAGGCTCCAAACGTCCAGGAGGAAGCCTCCTTTGCAACATCAGAATGAATCAGGACCACTGATAGCCTTCCAAGGTCCAAAAACATTTCTCCTAACTGGCACTCTCATCAGATATAATCCAGTTCTTGAACATCTCAATGCACAAAAGGGCAGAAAGTTTCCGTTCCATCTCCTGAGTTACTAAAAAGATTCTTTCAAACATTTTACCTTTCATTGCTAAAGGTGAGGCACTATGGGTTAGGCAAAGAAGCACTCAATGGAGAGAGCAAGGACCAGAACGCTGATCTCAACAGTGCCATGGTTTCCCTCGAGTCCCATAGGCACTAGTGTCTCAGGTCCCCAGACTAGGAAACTTCATGTTCCTTGCCCACTTCTGCCTTACAGAGGTCACCTGAGGATGAACTGAAAGCATTGATCTGAAGAAGCACTTGGAGTGTTTAGTGGGGAGCATAAAGTTCCAATGGAAGTGATGATCAGATTAGACTGTAGTAGCCTGGGAATAAAGAGTTAGAGCATCACTGTGGCAGCCAACTCTCTGTTCCCATCATGACCCAGCCAAACCTCTTTCTACGGATTCAGTTCCTTGGGACTTTTGGGGGCGTTGGGAGACGCTAGCGGAGCAGCACAGATACTCACATGCCATTAACCAAGGCTGCTCTCTTTTTTTCTCTCAAATATACACCTAACATTAAGCTTTTTTCTGATTATAAAAAACATATATATAATCTCTTTTTAAAGTGCAAGCAGTTGATCAAAGCAGAAAGAAAATTAAGATCACCCAAAATTCTACCACCCAGAAGCAAACACTGTTAACCTGAAAGGCATCCTATCAGATGCCTGGTCTTCAGACATATACATATATTTGTCTTATTTTATGGTATCATAAAATAAGTGGTATCATATTATACATGTTATATTATACATGATACATATACATGATCATATTATACATGTTATATTATACATGATACAGTGGTATCATATTATACATGTT